GGCGTGTGGACGTGGTGTCGGGCGTGTGGACGTGGTGTCGGGGCGTGTGGCTGTGGTGTCGGGCGTGTGGCTGTGGTGTCGGGGCGTGTGGCTGTGGTGTCGGGGTGTGTGGACGTGGTGTCGGGGCGTGTGGCTGTGGTGTCCGGTGTGTGGACATGTGTCAGGCATGTGGCTGTGGTGTCGGGGTGTGTGGACGTGGTGTCGGGGCGTGTGGCTGTGGTGTCAGGCGTGTGGCTGTGGTGTCAGGCGTGTGGCTGTGGTGTACGGTGTGTGGACGTGGTGTCGGGGCGTGTGGCTGTGGTGTCGGGGTGTGTGGACGTGGTGTCGGGGCGTGTGGCTGTGGTGTCCGGTGTGTGGACACGTGTCAGGCGTGTGGCTGTGGTGTCCGGTGTGTGGACGTGGTGTCGGGGCATGTGGCCGTGGTGTCGGGCGTGTGGATGTGGTGTCGGGGCGTGTGGCTGTGGTGTCGGGGTGTGTGGACGTGGTGTCGGGGCGTGTGGCTGTGGTGTCCAGTGTGTGGCTGTGGTGTCAGGGCGTGTGGCTGTGGTGTCAGGGCGTGTGGCTGTGGTGTCCGGTGTGTGGACATGTGTCAGGCGTGTGGCTGTGGTGTCGGGGCGTGTGGCCGTGGTGTCGGGGCATGTGGCCGTGGTGTCGGGCTTGTGGACGTGGTGTCGGGGCGTGTGGCCGTGGTGTCGGGCGTGTGGCTGTGGTGTCAGGCGTGTGGACATGTGTCAGGCGTGTGGCTGTGGTGTCGGGGCATGTGGCCGTGGTGTCGGGCGTGTGGCTGTGGTGTCGGGGTGTGTGGACGTGGTGTCGGGGCGTGTGGCTGTGGTGTGCGGTGTGTGGACATGTGTCAGGCGTGTGGCTGTGGTGTCGGGGTGTGTGGACGTGGTGTCGGGGCGTGTGGCTGTGGTGTCCGGTGTGTGGACATGTGTCAGGCGTGTGGCTGTGGTGTCAGGGTGTGTGGCTGTGGTGTCCAGTGTGTGGACATGTGTCAGGCATGTGGCTGTGGTGTCG